TTACTAATTAGTAACACCTTGATAATTCTCCAAGGCTCGAATATCGGTAACAACTGACGTTTTAGATGATTTTATTGATCTCTACTTCATCAAATCTTTTTCACCGAAATCTCTTAAAAAATTTAAATTTTTGGTTTTTGCTACATGGCTTCGGAATTTACTCCTAAATTGTCGTGTATGTCGACAAATTTTATTGAAATTATTAACAACTCGAAATTACCTACATGACATTCGAAATAATTAACTAGATATATCTAGGTATCTATCCGAAAAACAGTTGACGGTGATACTGCTGCCGCCTAATTCATTCAAGTATGAAAACGCCACATAAATAAGTAGTCGCTGGGAAGCTTTGTTTCCCTATTTTTTATTCTTCTCTCTGTTGTTCTATATACACATTCCATTTGTATGTGGCCTTTCTCAAGGAATTTTTGAGGAATTTTAACATAGTGTATTTTCCTATTTTGTGCTGTATAGCCATCAGATTAAATTATAATAAGTTTTTTTCACTCTTATTGCAAAACTTTCCTTCAAGAAAATCAACGAAGAATGAAGCATAGGCCGAGGCTTGATTATCTGCTTACCTCTCATACCAGTACCTATAGCACACTATTTATTTAGTGGTAAATTCATAAGAGCATGAAATTTCGTCCACCCATTCTTGGTTTTTAGCGCATTTTTGAAAAAAATACGCTATTATATTCGTATTGGCTGGCCGGCCGGCTGTCCGCGTTAGATCTCAGCAACTACAATAGCTAGAGACTTCAAATTTTCACTAAAAGCTTTCTGCTATAGTGTAGATGTGCAGGCTCTAGTCTATTTTGGGTTACATTACTTGTGCGATCGATAATTGAAGAAAATAATTACGATATGGTTTTCGGAGGTGCTATAATTTTACCGTTAGATAGCGCTACCAGTATAAAAACTTAGTTATTTACTTTGTGATTTGTTTTACAAAAGAAAGACGTACCCTCAATTGAAATTAAATAAAACGCAGCCAAAATTACTCGTGAAATCGATAATTCTAAACTTCGCTAATAAAATAGTGATCTGCATTACCAAAAATGCGGTTTAATCGCGCATAATATGCTGATTTACAACTTGTTTGTTTCGTTTTCTTTTTTGTGACCTTTTTAGCACATTTCTACACAATAATGTTGCTATTGTGGCCACTTTGTGCACTCGTCCGTTTATCTATCCCTACGGCTGTGTCACTTTCATATCTTTATCTTAAGAGGTACTTTGTAGCGCATTTTCCAAGGATGTTGGATGCTTTATTGCAACCAATTTCTCTGTCCGTCCGTCTGTCCCTCCGTGCATTCGTCCGTCTGTCCGTCTGTCAACAGATGCCAGCAAAACGGGTATAGGTGCAGTTACACCGCCTCGATAACGGACAAGAGCGCCCAATCGCTTTTGCAAGTCGGGCAATGTTTGCAATCGAACAAAGGTACCCACAGATTGATAAGGAGGCTCTCGCTATCGTCTGGACAGTAAAAACGTTTTTCAATTATGTATACGCACGTTTTTTTACACTAATTACAGACCACAAACCACTCACACAGATACTACATCCTGAGCAATCTTTGCCAGTGTTGTGCATCAGTCGTATGGCCAATTACGCCGATTATCTCGCACATTTTGATTACGAAGTAGTATATAAGACATCAAAAGCAAACGCCAACACAGATTACTGCTCAAGAGTCACATTACCAGCGGGATCGGCAAGTGCAATTCACCACATCTCATCGGCATCGGCAGTTCGTCGCAGATGACTTTAAAAGCTTCCTACGAAATAGTGGCTTGAAGTATCACAAACTGTCGGCACCTTACCATCCCTCTACAAACGGGAAAGCAGAACGCTACGTTCAAACTGTGAAGGATGCGCTTTACACAATGAAAACAACTAAAGGAACGCTCCGGGGCATTCTAAACGAGTTCCTTCGTCAATACCGGAAGGCTCCACATTCGGTTACGATGCTTCCACCGGCACGACTTTTCCTAGGGCGAGACAGCGAGACTTACGAACTCGTCTTGACATGACAAGACCTGACGATGTGCAGACAAGAGTCACCCAGAAACATCAAGCAAACATGAGGTCTACCTTTCGCATACTAAACTGTAGACAAAGATGTGTACTTCATATCTGGAAACAAAAACATGGACAAATGGCTCCCAGGCGTTATCCCTGCTCGCGTCGGAGATCTTCACTATGAAATTAAACATGGGGATAAAGCGGTGAAACGTCATATTGACAAAATTAGAACGTTCGCAGAAAATATCAGAGAAAAAGGTGTTGTCCAACAACGAAAAACAACGCCTGATGAGCCCATATTGCGACGTATCCGTTTTCATAGCCAACAAGGGAACTCACCAGCGGCCGCCGAGCCCACTCTGGCAACAACTACCCCAGTTCTATCACCAGCATATGAGGTGTAGATGAAATACTTTTAGCTGAAAATGCCCCTCGTGAAATTTCTTACAAGGTAGATACTCAGAAGTTAGCCTAGGTGTACCTCTTAGCCTAGGAAAATCATCAATTTTCGTGTTTTTTTTTTTGCGGTTTTTTGCAAATATATCGCGACCTTCAGGACTAGATGAATAGGTTTAGCTGAAAATGCTCTTCGTGCAATTTCATACGAGGTAAGTAACTGAAGAGTTGGCGTAAAGTCACCTTACACCTTCAACTTTCATGTGTGAGGAAATGTTCATTGTAAAACAAAGTATTTCTATGCACCATTTATTCACGTAAATAGTATATTAAGTATGGAGAACGGTAAGGGATTTTTACCGTTCGAAGACAATTGTTTGGAGGAGGAGCGAAGCGACGACTCCAATTATTGTCTGAGAACGGTAACCCTTAACGTTCGACGTGCTTATATTTTATAACATTTTTTGCGCGATCGAAATTAAATTTATGCAACCAATATAAATATGCACTAAGAAATTAACGAGCAGAATAAATCGAAATGATCGAAGTGGTATGGTGTATATCACTAGGTAACCAGTTTATTTGTCAAAATTGAAGTTAATAATTTCATAAAAATGTGCATGTGTCTGATGTAGTTTACTAGCTTTGAACTTCTTTTATGACTTTATGAGCGTCTTGCTATAGGAAACAACAGCACAAATTGTACGTTTAATGTACCTAACAATAATTAAAGATTAAATGTAATGTAAGACTGTTGATTTTTAAAAAGGCGTCGGTAAGTATTTTTACTCACAATCGGTTAGTATTATCTGAATTCCTAACCTTCATAGCGGTTGCGAAGCGACTCATTACTCACCTTAGCCGGGAAAGTAACTTTCCCGGCTAGCTGTCACTTTCCCGGCTAGCTGTCACTTTCCCGGCTAGCATCTGTCACTTTCCTTACCTGCAAATGCTATTCATATTATCACAGATTTATTATCCTTATATGAAACTTATACTAATAGTGACACCGCCAATGTAACCATTAATGTTTACAACAATAGCAAATTACGAAGAAGAACGAAACTATTTGCTATTGTTGTAAACATTAATGGTTACATTGGCGGTGTCACTATTATTGACAGTTAAAGTTAAAGTTAAAAACACCTTGTTGAATTATATACTTTACCTTAAATGATCGATTGTGAGTAAAATAGTATACAAACCTCGCTGGTCAGTGGTTCATAACCAACGCCTCGCGCTTATAGCCTTAAGCCCTCGGCGTAGGTAATGAACCACCTCCCAGCTCGGTATGTAATCTACTATTGCTGTTCTGTTTTTAGATCGGTAAGTAATTTTGACGTCGTCGTAATCATAGCAACTGGTAAATTCTACCTACTGTCATGGAAACACCCATGGTAAATAGTCAGAAATGACCGATCGCGCAAAAACAGTATTTTCATATCAAAATATTCACACATTCATTTATATCTCAACCTAATCATTCTCCTCTGCGGATTCCACTTCTTCAGGCTCTTCGACTTCCTCTAGTGGTAGTGGGGCGTCTGAAATTACCGACTCTAGTTCTCCTCGTCTTCCGCATTGGCATCCTGTTTACGCCACTGTATAAATGTAGATGGAAAAATACTTGCGCCATCTGGAGGTTACTAATATAGATATATGTATTCACTTTTGTTCGTATTGTAAATGGCGTATAAAATAAAATCGAATTGAAGAATTATGTTGGTGATTCAATTTCTAAACTATCCATCATAACAGTTTGGCGACGAGGATCGAGAATACAATATACGAATACCCAAGAATATAATTGCTGCAGTATCCCGTTTCTACGATGACTTCAAGTTCAACGCACCACGTGCCAGCCAATTTTATTGAATTCTACGACGCTAAAACGAAATTCAAAAGATGGCTTCAACGATTGGAAGGAGCGTTCAAAATATATCAAGTAGAAGGGAATGCCAAATTACATTATTTTCTGCACTTCATTGGGGGTGAAACATACGACCTGGTATGCAATCTTCTTTCACCGGATGCGCCGGAAGATAAAAAATACGAAGATTTGTGCACGTTATTAAAAAACCACTTCGACCCGCAACCTTTGGAAATAGCAGAATATTTTAAATTTCATCATCGCCTCCAGAACGAAGGGGAATCTATTCGTGATTACATTACGGAGTTACGTAGGATGGCGGCAACATGCAACTTTAGTACTTTCCTGGAGACTGCATTAAGGAATCAGTTCACATGTGGCATCAGGGATAAACGAATAAGGGATCGCCTCCTAGAAACGAAGGACCTTACCATGAAAACAGCGGTGGAGCTAGCCCAAAGTATCGAGTCATCTTACGCCAACGAAATTTCAGATAAGTCTATTCATTCAGTAACTTCGGTTAAAAATAAAATGCCTAAACATGTTAGCAATAAAAAAATTGTAGCCAAGCCACAGTCAGGTCAGAAAGAAAATAGTATTTCATGTTTTCGATGTGGTGGTTGTCATTATGCAAATAAATGTCGGCATACAAGCAGTGTCTGTAATTATTGTAAACGAAAAGGGCACATTCAAAAAGTATGCATGCAATTACAAAAATCCGTTAACGAAGTAGATGCGGACGATACTGATGATGAGAACCAACCAGTATTTTATATAAATAATGTAGATGAGTTTAATCCTGAAAAAATGTGGTTAGAGGTGAGGTTAAATAATGAATTCATGAAAATGGAGCTTGATAGCGGTTCAGCTGTTTCAATTATTAGTTATGTAGATTATAAGAAACATCTAAATAATGTTAAATTAATACCTACTCCAATTAGGTTGAAATCTTACACTGATAATGATTTAAATGTTTTAGGGAAGCTACAGGTGACGGTGACTCTCGAGGAGGAATCAAATGAACTTCCTTTGTATGTCATATCAGGAAATAAAACACCATTATTTGGTAGAGAATGGATAAGGGGATTTTCAGCAGATACGCTAAGTAAAATGTTTCATACGGTAAATGCTGTTCAAGTTTCAAATACTGCCCAATCCGTTACTGGCACTGAATCAGTTCTTAAAAAATTATTAGGTAAATATTCTGTCTTATTTGATAAGCAAATAGGAGAAATGAAAGGTGAACCTGTTTCAATAAATTTAAAAGCCAATGCAAATATACCTTTCTTTAGAGCTAGACCCGTTCCATTTGCAATAAAAAAATTAGTTGAGGACGAAATTGACAATTTGGTTAGGGAAGGTGTATTAGAAAAAATAGATTACAGTGATTATGCAACACCTATTGTACCGGTAGTAAAATCTGGAAATAAAATACGTTTATGTGCAGACTTTAAGGTAACTTTAAATCCAAATTTAGTGGTGGATGAACATCCTTTGCCTACCACTGATGAATTGTTTCAAGATTTAGCTGGAGGGGAAAAATTCACTAAAATTGACTTAACTAAAGCATACCTACAAATGAGAGTTCGTGATGAGGACCAGAAATTTCTTACACTAAATACACATAAGGGTCTTTATAAATGCACACGATTAATGTACGGCTTAAGTTGCGCCCCTGCTAAATTTCAAAGAAAAATTGAAAATATTTTGTCAGGAATACCCGGCATTGCTGTGTTCATAGATGATTGTAGACTAACTGCTCCAAACGATAAAATTCATCTTGAACGATTAGAAGAGGTATTTAAAAGATTATTAAATTACAATATCAAAGTAAATTTAAGTAAATCAGAGTTCCTAAAAAATGAAATTGAATATTGTGGTTACCGAATTGATAAGTTTGGTATTCATAAAACTAAAAGTAAAGTAGATATGGTAGTCAATGCTTTACAACCAAAAAATATCCAAGAACTTCAATCATTACTAGGACTTATAAACTACTATGGTAGATTTTTTGAAAATTTAAGCGAGATATTAGAGCCAATGAGATTGTTATTGCGTGAAGGTGTAAAATGGAATTGGACAAAGGCTTGTGAGAATGCTTTAAACAAAATAAAAGAAATGATGAAATCGGATAATTTTTTAGTACATTTTAACAACAATTTACAAATTATCCTAGCCACTGATGCATCGCCTGTAGGCGTAGGTGCTGTGTTATCGCATATCATGCCAGATGGCTCGGAAAAACCGATTCAATTTGCTTCCCAATCCTTAACTAGTTCACAACGTAATTGGTCTCAAATTGATAAAGAGGCATATGCGATCATTTTTGGAGTGAAACGTTTTCACCAATTTTTATTTGGTCGGAAATTTGTCTTGTATACAGACCATGCACCATTAGCTCAAATATTTTCTCCACAAAAAGGCTTACCGATAATGTCTGCGAGTAGAATGCAACACTATGCTATTTTTCTACAAAGTTTCAATTTTGAAATAAGGTATAAAAGTTCAAAATTAAATGCAAACGCTGATGCGCTCTCTAGATTACCTGTAGAATCCAAAATTGAAAATACTGTAGAAGAATCTGACATTTATGAAATTTCCCAAATACACACATTACCTGTAACAGTAGATGAGTTAAGCAAACAAACAAAATTAGACACAGAACTAGGACTTCTATTGACCATGCTAAAAGAAAATAATAATGTTCCACATTTAGTTAGATTTGGAATTAATCAATCAGAATTTACAATTCAAAATGATTGTATTTTAAGAGGGAATAGAGTCGTGATACCTTCTATATTACGAAAGCGAATTTTAAAAGACTTACATTGCGCTCATTTTGGAATAGCACGAATGTTATCATTAGCACGCAGTGTATGTTGGTGGCCCGGAATAGACGAGGACATTAAAGCAGTAGTACAAAATTGTTTAACCTGTGCGGAAAACAAAAATAATCCTCCTGAAATTAAACATCATTGGGTTTATCCTTCTTCACCATTTGATAGAGTTCATGTAGATTTTGCTGGACCATTTTTAAATGTATATTTTCTCATCTTAATTGATGCATATTCAAAATGGCCAGAGGTTCACATTTTACACAAAATTAATACTGATAATACAATTGAGATATTGCGTAGAATTTTCTCTATTTTCGGAATTCCAAATTGCTTATGTACCGATAATGGAGTACAGTTTGTAAATCCAAAGTTCGAATTATTTCTAAAAAGTCAAAATATAGTTCACAAACGATCAGCCCCATACCACCCTGCGACAAACGGACAAGTGGAAAGGTATGTGCAAACAATAAAACGTAAAATAAAATGTTTACAAGCAAATAAATTAAATTTGCAAGAAAATTTAGACAAAATTTTAACTCAATATCGTAACACAAAACATCCTGCTACGAATAAATCTCCATCTGAAATGATTTTTGCTTATCCAATAAGAACTACTCTTTCTTTAATGTTACCAAAACCAGTAGAAAGATCATTCGAAGTAGGAGATAGAATTGCAGCGAGAAACTACTTAGGTCCACTCAAGTGGAAGTTTGGTAGAGTTACTAAAAAACTAGGGTTATTACATTATGAAATAACGTTAGATGACGGATTAGTCTGGAGGAGACATATTAATCAGTTATCAAATTGTGGTGAAAATCTTGAAAGGCAATTACCATGTGACTATAGGAATCATGAAATAATAAATCCACCCGAGAGTAAACCGGATCCTATAGTTAACCCAGAGGTAAGACAAGAAGAAATACATCCTGCTGAGACATCAGATAATGCTGTAATATCAGAGCCTTCTGTTTCAGTTGTACCTAACTTACGACGTAGTAAACGTACACCTAAACCTATTGATAAGTTGAATTTGTAATGTATGAATTTTTCAAGGACGGGAAGTGTTACGCCACTGTATAAATGTAGATGGAAAAATACTTGCGCCATCTGGAGGTTACTAATATAGATATATGTATTCACTTTTGTTCGTATTGTAAATGGCGTATAAAATAAAATCGAATTGAAGAATTATGTTGGTGATTCAATTTCTAAACT